CCACAGGGTGGGGGGTGGAGGGAAGGGGAGAGGAAGGATTAGGGTCAAAATAAGGGGGGGTGCAATTGTATGGGGAATATAACCAAAATGATAATGCATACATTGTGCAAAAATGAAAAATGATGTAAGAATTATATAAAATAAAATATTAATTTAAAAAATAATAATAAAGTATGTGTCTAGGACAAAAATCATAATAATGGGGTACAGATTACTCAAGTTAGAAATTCATTGTGTTAGAGCATTTTGGTCAATAAAAACCTGAACAGCCACATGGCGTGACGTGCTTTTCTTCAGGTTTATCTTAGGGTAGAGTGAGAACCACTTGGGTCCTAGTTGTTATATGAGGTCTGCTTATAAAAAAAAAAAAAAGAAGAGGGAAAGAACCCTCCAATTATTAAGCATTTATTGTATGCATCATGTCACTGACTCCTCAAAGCAACCCACTGAAGAACATCCTATTACAACCTCATTTTATACATGAGGAATTCAAGGGACAGAGGAATGGAGCAATTTTCTCAAGGGATCTATCTAGTAAATGGCAGAGCTAGGATTCAAACTAGGTCTATTAAACTCTAAAACCAAGCTCTCAACTGCTATTTTATACTGTTTCTCGTTAAACTTAAGGACCATAAGTCCTCTATTATGGGATGATTCTTTATCCTTGCCAGATGTTTTGGTCACTTTTCTGTGGATCTGGTGACTGCGTAGGAGTGACCTAAAGTAACTCCTCACCTACAAACAGAATCCTGATTAGAGAGGAAACTTCACTGTTAACTTCATTCCAGGCACCTTGCAAAGAAAGAATGTCTCGTAGACGCATCTTCTGCTTCATTCACATTTTCAGTATTGAAAAGGTGCCTACTTTGCTCCTATGATTCCTCAACTTGAATTGTTTCGAAGGTTCGTTAGAAAATCAAATCATTGGGGCAAATTCAGTATCTTGAAAACATAATGTAGTTCCACTACATCTCCAAATTTCTATACTGGGAACTCAGGGAAGAGAACAAAGAAAAGAGTCAATGCAGAAAAGAGTCTATGCTGAAAAAGAGTCCAATGAAAGTCAAAAGACTTTTTTTTTTTTTTTTAAGATTTATTTATTTATTTATGCAAGCACTGGGTACAGTCAGAAGTGCAGGAGGGTGAGAGGATTCACCAGAGCCAGAGCGGGGAGCAGAACAGGCAGAAGGACCAAAGTACACTGCTGAGGGGAGCAGCGGGTGGCAGTAGAGGTCTGCGCGCCATGTGGGACCCTCGCCAGCAGCCAGGGATTGAACCAGCACTGCAGAGGCTGCGGACAGCTTCGCAGCCCAGCGCTCAACCGCTGCGCTACCAGGGGAGTCCCTCAAGAGACTTCATATTTACATTTATATTTCCAACTCCCTGCGCCTCTTTGATGTATTCAGGTTTGGCTTATAAATGATTAACTTTATGACAAAGTTCCTGAGATCAACAAAGTATTAAGAGTCAGTTAAATGAAAAAAAGACATACCTCTAAAATTTTAACTCCAATAAATAAGTAAATTTGATTGACAAAAATTTTCTGCATACTTGTTTTGTGATTTAATTTTAAAAATAAAAGAAACTATCTTAGCTGGAACTCAAGTTTTAGTTGCTTAAAGTCTCTTTATTTGGGGGGAGAGATACAGGGAACAAGGGAGAGATTATACAAGGATGCGTTAGAGCATCAGTCACCCAGTGGATGGATGGCACTAATCCCACAGAGCCCTCTAGAGAAAGGTGCTGAAAGAAACCTCAGATTGCCACCTCTAAAGGATGAAAGGAGGAAGCATTGATCCATAAATTCCTCGTTAGTCAAAGGTGACCCACACTTCTGGATTGAGCACATGTGAGTGCAGAGCAAATCTCCATGGTTTCCCCTATTACAGTAGCAGAGAAGCACAGGGGCAGGAGGCCAGAGGTACAGGACAGGGTCCTGAGGAGAGACCCGGTCAGCTCACAGCCTCCTGAATCTGGTGAAACTCCTTAGGGGCTAAGAACACTTAAAATGGGGGCCTCCCTTGTGGCGCAAGGGTTAAGCACTGCACTATGAAGCAATCCGCAGCCTCTGCAGCATGAGTTCAATCTCCAGCTGGCCAGGGAGAAACCCACATGGGGCAGCAGACCTCTCCTGCCTCACCTGCTGCTCCCCTCAGCAGTATATTTCAGTCTGTCTGCCTGTTCTGAGCCCCGCTCTGTGTCTGGTGGATCCTCTCACCACCCATACTTCTGGCCTATACCCCAGCTCTTGTATGCATAAAATAAATAAATCCTTTAAAAAAAAAAAGAACACTTCAAATGATACCTAAGAGGTGGCCAACATAAAACTGCTGCCCACAGTTTGATGTACATCTGCCCAGACACAATTTGTGATCACCATTCATGCATGAAGCCACTGAACAGATGTTAACGGAGCAGCAGCCACATCATGTGCCAGTCACTCTGTTAGATCCTCGGGATTGGGCCGGGGCTAGGCCTACGAGCACATTGCTCTCTTGGAGCTTACAGTCTCTTGGGGGAAATCAGGTCATTCTAACACAAGTCATTATAACATCCTTACTGAATTACAATCATGATAACCGTTGTGAAGAAGTGTAAGATGATAAACTTTCATGAGAATCAAAGGAGGCTTCCTGAGGAAGTGACATGAAAGCTCAAACTTGCAGAGCGAAGGATGAAAAATAGAAGGTGGGAGAGCAATGGGAGAGATGAGGAGGAAGGGAGATCTAGAGAGTGCGCTGCAGTCAGAAAGAACATAATCAGATACCTGTGTCCTAAGAATAAGGTAGGAAGCCAGTGGGACTGGGGTAGGCTAAAGGGCCTCACCTGACAGAAAAAGGTTTTGGATTCTGTCCTAAGGTCAGCGGTCACCTCCTGAAGAGTTTAGAACAGGGAACGATGTAATCAGACTTTCTTCTTTTTTTTTTTTTTTTTTTACATAAATCCAAATCTTCTTGTAAACACAAGCAGCAGAAGCTCATAAATATCACACAGGTGTTTAAAAAGAACACAGTCTGTAATCACCACAAATATAACAGGAGTGTTGATGGGGGCCAGGGGGTACCCAGAGTCTGGGAGGCATACAGAGTTCACCTTTTTGTTTGTTTTTGAGGACTAGATGTTCATCTGATTTGACGCCAAGGGAGCATTTGGGTAAGCCAGGATGAAATCCCCATTAGAAACTCTCCCCTTTCTTCAAAAGCTTCAAAAGAAAATTTCTCCTCAAGTTTCCACCAAGACTAACCTCATACGTGGGTGGTGTTGGGGACCACCTACAGGGAGTGAGTTAAGAAGTGCTAAAAGACCACTCCTATTCAGTGTAAACTCTCTCTGTCCTCCACTAGTGCCTAAACCCAGACACCTCTGTGCTTCTGAATTTTCATTTGCTAAATAAGCTAATGCAGAGTAACCCACTGGAATATAACCAAAATGAAAATGCATACATTGTGCAAAAATGAAAAATGATGTAAGAATTATATAAAATAAAACATTTTTTTTCAAAGAAATCTTTGCTCTTATGGGGCACAGCTGTCTCATCTGAAAAAGAAGTTGATTGGTCTATTTTGGTCATTATCTCTTGAATTCCTGTCATCCCAGATGAGGTTTAGCTCCCTTCTAATGCTCCTGCTCCCCATAAAGCTGTATATCACCAGAAGACATGGTAGTTAAGATTACAAACCTCCTGCTCCTTGCTAACTGATGTTCCTGGCATGAGTTACCTAACCTCTCTGTATCTCAGTTTCCTCCTTTGTAAAATGAAGGTAGAGAAAAGATCATAATGTATCATTGGGTTGTGGAAAGGATTAAGTGAGTTAACCTAGTAAATTCTTTTTTTTCCTGATATTATGCAAATATTTTTTATTTTTATAATTCATCTGCTATGGCATCCTTGAAGTGGCAGCATTGCAGAAATCTCAAACATCAATGTAATAATAAACTGAAAGTAAAAGGGAAAATTGTGTTAAAAAATGCTCATGGAAGTAAAATCATCTATGTTGGAAATAATGGAGACTAAGTTTAGATACCTCAATGTACTGGGTTATCAGGGACCAATAATACATGCTGAATTTTATTTTACAATGTAGATTTCCTCAGAGTCTAGGCTGATCACTCTAGCCACTTCCAGCACATTCATGTGCTCTGGCAGTGCCTTGACTGGGAGGATCCACCTACTGTGTAGTCTTTCTTCTTTGCCATAGAAAAACATTTTAGAGTAAACTGGTAAATTCTTTAGCAAGGTGCGTGGCACAGATAAGGTCTACTCTGGCATTAAATAATAACAATATTAATAGTGGTATTTATTGACTTTATAGGATGCCTTTGTAACTTCACATCAAATGGATAATTGATAAATCAAGAAATGGGAGTAGAAGCATTATGTGGTGCTTTGGAAAGATTACAATTGGCAGGGGGCAGGGGAAAACCTGGGATAGCTTTTCCTTTTTAAAAAAAAAAAAAAGTCTTTCTGTGCTTAGATTTTTTTTTAGGATGTATATGTACTACATGACACTAGTTTTAATTTAAAGAGATTGAGCAAAAAGATCCCTAAAGACCCTTTCGAAATTCGAGAATTGACTGTGACTTTTAAAGCGCAGCACTGCTCAGGCAGACAGCCTATCTTTCTTATCAGTGCTACCACTAATTTGCTTGGCCTTTTCAGGAAGTCCTTATAAAAGTGTAAAATAAACACAATCACCTTGGCATGTTCGTAACTGAGGTGACTTCAATTTCTTGGAGAGAAAAGAAAATGAGAAAGGTGAAAATATAAACTTCGTAAACACTCGTCCTTCGGAGCTGGCTTACATTTTGCTCCTTGGAAAGTTTTCTCAGAAATCAATTCACTTACATAAAAGCACGATCAGAAGCGGAGAATGAACTCCATGACAAGTGCTGCTGGCCGCCCAGCGGTGAAAGCGTTAAGAGGGCTGGGTAAGGCGATCCCTGGAAATGAGTAAGACTCAGAGTTGTTAAAAGTTTTCAAAGCAGCCGCAGAAGCGCAGCAGCGGCAGCAGTGGCAGGCAGCGGCAGCAGCAGTGGCAGCAGCTCCTTGGGGAGAGGAAGCCAGTTGGAGGGAACTGGAGGAGCAGGCAGCTTGCTGAGCTGAAGTCAGCTGAGGTTACAAACTCAAGGTTAGTGGCACATACCTCCCCCGTGCTGACATCTTTGGAGAGGAGTCTCAGGAAGGCGAGGCGCCATCTCTCTTCCCAGGGTGTCCTGTGTGCTTGGCTTACTGGTGAGGCCAAGGGTCAGCCAGCCAAACCTCCCTGCTGCTGCCAGCACCCAAAGCTTGGCATTTGGCATTTGTAAGGGACAGCTGCTGTCCGCCCAGGAGAGTTTTCTAAATCGGAGACTTCTTCTCTGTCATCCAAAAGCAAAGTGTTTCTGAAACAAGGGTAGTTTCAGAACACACACACACACACACACACACACCCCTGTATAAGCTGCTCTATTTTGGTATTTGAAACTTGTGACCACAATCTAGAATTCCTATCTGCTTCAGCTGAAACTGAGAACAATTGTTAAAGTAACTAACAGGCTGCATGACTGCAACTTGTAGGAGGAATATTGTCTCTGAGGATGAACTAATTAGGGTCAGAAGAGAAGGAAAGAATTTGCAAGCACCCTGGCCTACAATTGAGGCAAAATAATTATTAAAAATGAGTTCCTGGTTGGAATTTTTCTTGTACAATGCTAGAACAAAATAATGGCAGAAGATGGGCTGTGAAGGGAATAATTCTCTTTCTTCATTAGATTCAGATAAACCTATCTATGTAAACTTGTCTGTATGTGATGCAGATAACAGATAAATCAAAACCCAGGGAAGGAGGGTAGGTGGAAATTGCAGTATGTGAGGACCTTGATTTGGTCCCTGGGACTGACTGTCCTGGAGAGGGGAGCAGGCCTGCCCCTTCAACAGGCCCCAGCACTTGCCCTCCACAACGGAGAGGCAGAGAGTAAGTAGTCATTCTCTGCTGAATGCTCCCTAGATCCTCAGCAGACACGAGTCTTATACCTGCTAGCACTGAATCAGGATGAGTCATCTGAAACTTGAGTGCTAGAACAAAGTACTTGCAAACTGCTTTATAAGGCACTGCCTCCATGTAGGTGGGACACACCTCTCAGAGCAGTGACATTTTCTTCCTGTCTTCCTATTTCCTCCAAACAGACAAGCTTTCTGATGCTCTCAAGGGACAGACTCTGCCCCTCTGGCTCAGCTGGCCCTACCATGTAGACTCTGCCCTTGTGGGTCAGGCCTGGAGTTTTAAAATAAAATGGATGATCTGACGTTACTTGATCTTCTGGAGTGCCCCGTGTGCTTTGAAAAGCTGGATGTCACAGCCAAAGTCCTCCCTTGCCAGCACACCTTCTGCAAGCCATGTCTGCAGAGGATTTTCAAGGCCCACAAGGAGCTGCGGTGTCCTGAATGCCGGACCCTGGTGTTTTGCAGCATCGAGGCGCTGCCGGCCAACCTGCTGCTCGTGCGTCTTCTGGATGGTGTGCGCTCCGGCCAGAGCCCAGGCAGAGGGGGCTCCTTCCGCAGGCCCGGCGTGCTGACCTTGCAGGACAGCAGGAAAAGCAGGACTAATTCCAGAGGTCTGCCGGCCAGCCCTTTCCGGCTGGTGCCTAATATCAGAATCCACATGGATGGGGTAAGCAAGATCTTACTTGTTCATGTCACGCTGCTTGGAGCTTGGGTTTGCGTAGATAGCAGTTGAGGTGATCTTCCTTTAGTTACATTTCAAAGTGCTGCTGCTGATTCCCCAGAGATAAGTTTCTGTGGGCAGCAGTCATTTCACAGAAACTCAGTGACGTCTAGTCCCTTAGGAATCCTCCTTAGAGAAATCCCTAGGAATTCGCCTTGAAACTGCGAAAGCTTCCTAATTTCTCCCGGCTTCTTGTCCAGAAGGCGGTAGACAAGGAAAACATTCTCGGGTATATTTTTCGTCTTCCATTCCTGTTGTTCTAAGGTCAAGTCAGTGCATGGGCCACCCGCACAGGGTGGGAGAGAAGACAAACCCAGCCGCTGGGGGCTTTGCGATCTCCGCGGAATTTCCAAATATCAGATTTTATTTAAAATTAACCCAAATCTCTCTTTCCACCCCCAGTCAGAAAGTGCTATTATGAAAAAGCTCATTCATAACCCATTCAAAGCAATCAAGAGACTCGCCCCCCAAAGGTGGTGTGGGAGGGGCGAGTAGACGTGGGTGGACTGAGTGACAGGGAAGGCTGGGCTGTGAGGCGCGACAGATGTAGCAGGAACCGGGCAGATGTGGCTTCCTTCAAAATGAAGAAAAAAACACCAAAAAATGCACAGCAGTAGCTTCAATTAAAAAATAAAAATAAATAAACCGGGCTCAGTAGAGCCGTACAGGTGGTGACCCCGTGAAGTTTCTGAAGTTTGTGGTATTTGGATGATGAAAAGTAGTCAGTGCAGGTGCACAACCCATCCTGGGACTTTATCTGACCTGCTGTGAGCCTTCCTGTGGGAAACTGAGGAAGGACATGTCTCCAGAGAAGGGTCTGGTTCTCATGAGCCCAGCAAGGTCATTTGCACAGTTACCTCTGCAGTCATTGTGCCTAAGTGGCCACAGAAAGCTGTGGCCTGGGCTGGTTGCTGGCACACTTGGCGAGTGAACACTACAAGTGTGACCTAAACAAGCTCAGTGGAAACCCAGAGGAACAGTGAGTGGGAGGGTTTTACTGGAATCCTTCTCCACACAGGAGCATAGGTTGTGACAGGCATTCAGATCACTTGTGTAAAATATTCCTTCCATCAGCTCACCCCTCCTTCAGCTCACTGCCTTCAGCTGCCCAGGCAGTAGGGAGTGTGCAAACATTCAAAAATGAGATCGGAAGAAGCAGGACGGGATGTGATTTCTTTACCGCACTATTTGTTGCCATTGTGCTTGTGTGGGTGAGCACGTCCCAGAAAAGCTCTGAGCACCCATATTTAAGGCTCCCTATTAGCCTGGTCTAGTCATCAGTCAGAATCCAGAGGCCTGGGAAAGGTGGGTTAGGGGCACAAAACTTTCCCAAACATGCCTTGTTTACAGAGAACCCGGCTCTCTCTCCTGTCAGCAGATCCCTCTTTGAATTCCTAAGACCCAGCAACTTCTCCCTCCCCCACCTTGTAAAATATGACTGGTGTCATCACTCACTAAGAAAATGTTGTCACACTGGGAGGAGGTGCCTATCACCTTTGAGAATCTTTGCTGGGGTGTTCATCTTTTTTCAGTGTGGGAATGTTGATAGGAAAAGGCAGCAGCAGAGAGATCACAGTCATCAAGCTTCTGAACCATGGAGGATCCCCAGATACCTCCTGCCACAGGAGTTGTGGGAACGAGATAGCCTGTAAGAGCGCGAGTCCCGGATCTCTTTCCCAAGCGTCACTTGTAACATCAGACGGGGGTGCCCGTGATGGGTTGTGGCCATGCCACCCTGGGCCAAGTACTATGGTGAAGCTGAAATGCACAACCGCATCACTGAGGGCTCCTCTTTTCTGGCTTGGTTAGTGAAGAGCCGCTGCCGGCCCAGCACCCTTGCTGCCTTCATTCCTCGACTGTCTTTACTTGCTTGGCCCATCTCATTGCTTTTGTTTCTTTCAATGGGCTTCTTTCATTCCTGGATACAAATACAGCTGTCATTTTGCAAACTCTCCTAGCTCCCAAAATATAGCTCTCTTTCCTGCAGATGTGACAGCTCTCAGACAGCCCTCAGTCACAGAAGTGAGGATTGTCTGAAGCACCACTCTCTGTTCTAAGAATCATCCTCAGTGATGCAATTAACAAGTTACTTGGCCTCTTTGCCTCAGTTTACCCAGTCTAGTCAACAGCCAATAATACTTTCTATCTTGTTCCAGGGTGGTGTGAAAATTGTATTTGCAACATATTCATATGGCCTCTGAAAACATACACCATAAACACAAAGCATCATCATTATCATTAATTTAAACTTGCTGTATGACTTTGGGCAAGTCACTTAAATTTGCTGGGTCCCAATTTAAACTTCTGTAAAATGGGGAAATGTATTGTACAAACAGAGAGCCATTGTGAGGCTAAACTAATAAGTGTTTGTTTGCAGAGCATTTTGAGATCCTTAGATGAAAGGCATTTTGAAGATCATTATCATAGTAAATATTATTGTTGACTGTTTATTGTGCCCTGGTGTGAGGCATTCTATAAAACACAGAAGGAGTGATAGCCCTTGCAGGAGAGTGTAATGGGTATTATTATTGAACTTGATTCTATGATGGGCCCAGGACAGGTTAATACTAAGTATAAGCACTCCCAAAGCAGGCATAAATAACCAGTTGTCACAGGGTACCATTTTTAAAATGGAGGCCTAGGTGTTAAGCTGGTACTCTGAAAGGGTTCATTTAACTGACTATCCATGAGCTTTTTAAGTCCAAAGTGTGTTCAGCTCAGCTAGGCTCATCTAAAAAACAAGCTCATCTAGATCTTTTTGTTGGCTCAAAGAGGCCTGGTGTTTCTTGTGCCAGCTGCTATGCTAGGGTGGAACCAGTAGTCACACTTCATGGTGCCAGCCCAAGGAAGAAAAAATAGTCCATTGTGCCTACATGTCTAAAACCCTCCCAAGTAGACTGTGTGAATAGGAAACTTGAGAAATGGCCGGAGGTTTCTGCAGCATGTAGTTATTTCACGCCAACAGCTCAGATCAACAGTCCTGCAGGGCCCCCGGCAGTGCAGGCCCGCTGGTCCTCACTCCTCCCCATTCTGCAGTCAAGCCAGAAGGGTATGGGCTCCCAAACAGCTGCTCTCTCTTGCTCCTCAATTTGCTACACTTTAAGATTATCTCTGAATTCAAACAGGCAGGAAAGCTGCAAAGGTATGAATTTGCAAACTTAGGTTTGAAAAATACAAGAATTCAAATTTTGATTCTGCCCCTTCAAAGTTGTGTACTTTGGGTGAGTCACTTAACCCCCAGGGCCTCCAATTCTCCATCTGAAAATTGGAGATAATAGTGGCACTAACCTCAGAGGGATGTTGTGAAAAATAAATGAGATGATTCATGTCAATTAGCTCTTAGCACAGTGACTGGCTCATATTAAGTGCTCAATAAATGTGAGCTGTGATTGTTATTGAAGTGACTCAACACTTTCTGCACCAAATTACACATCCTCTTTTCCCCCCTTGTTCACCACATGTTATCCAGAGATAATCCTTGATATCCTGATTTCTGGTTTGTTTTATTTTTCTCCAAATCATCTGCTGCCATGATTTAAATGTGTGATTCTTTCCCATTGTGTGCTGGAGTGGCAACTCGCTGTCAGAACCATTTAGGAAGTAGAGATTGATTCTAAGAGAAAACTAGCTAACTAACTTCCCCTCCCCAAATAGAAAGCTCAGGAAACCATATGCAGAGCCAGAACCTGGTCCACTTGGCCAGCCTCACCCATTCTTCATCTACTTTTATCGTTCCTTTCCCTGGCCTTTCACTTGATTCTAGCACAAGCATTGCTGCCCTGGGTCCTGTAGGGCTGGACTTTCTCCCTTCGTTGTTAAGCGTCATACCAACCACACACATTCTTGCCTCACTCGCCCATTCTCAGTAAGAACATAACTGCCACTTCCAGTACACAGACCAGGCAGGCTCTGTCCTAGAAACTTGATTTCAACTGGTGTTGCAGCATCCAAAGGGGGAAATGAGGTCAGAAGGCACATGAGGGAAGGAGCCTGGGGAGAAATCAGAAGGCATCCAGCCGCTTCCCTGGGTCTCAGCTGCTGTGTCCTCTGCAGAGCTATGTATCGCGCAGATGGTGGTTTTTGCTAAATGTGCTAAGGGACTAAAACCATCCTGAGGACCTGAAAACAGCAGGCAGGTGCTACCTAGGTCAGCAAGGACCACACATGGCAAGTGGAGAAAGACAGAAGGAAGGAGCTGAAGTTGAGAAGTCAGAAGCAGATGGTTCTCCAGCTTCACACACAATTGCAAACTAATTCTTAAAGGCCACATGGACCCCAAGAGTAACAAAAGCAAAAATAAATAAATAGAATTACCTCAAATTAAAAACACTTCAGCATAACAGGAAAAAATAACTCCCAAACAAAAAAGCAGCCTATTGAATGGGAGGAGATATTTGCAAATCATACATCCAAAAAAGAGTTAATATCCAAAACATATAAAGGATTGACCCAACTCAACCACAACAACAAAAACCAACTCAAAAAATGAAGACCTGAATGTACATTTTCCCAAAGACGTATAACTAGCCACCAGGCAAATTAAAAAATGTTCCTTGTCACTTTTTATTTGGGAACTGCAAATCAAAACCATAACAACATACTACCTCTCGCCTCTTAGATTGGCTATTATCAAAAAGACAAGAAATAACAAATGTTGGAGAGAATGTAGAGAAAAAGGCACTGTTGGTGAGAATGTATATTGGTACAGCCACTGTGGAAAACAGCATGGGGATATCTGACAAATTAAGACTAGAACTGTCATGTGATCCAGCTATTCTACTTCCCGGTATTTATCAAAAACCACAAAAAATACTAATGTGAAAAAGATTTGTGCATTCCTCCTGTCTTTGCATCCTTACTTAAGGTAACCAAGATATACAATCAACCTTAATATTCAGCAATGGATAAATAAGATATTATACGTGTAAATATATGGTTCACCACAC